CCCCCCCCCCAGTAAAATCAATAACACTTTATCATCAAATTATCATTAAAACTTCACCTAAAACCTTGGCACGTTTCGCTTAAAATATTCTCTTGAAACAATACAGCTTTTATTGAGATAAATTAAACATTCCCGAAAAAACCTCTAACTCCTCAGGGGGATTTTTGAAATGTAGGTTCCAAACATCCACATTTAAACCATGATGATGACATTTGGGCAAGTATTGCGCACCTACCGCCTTTGCATCCTAAACACGATAGTGCCGTTGTATAGGTAGTATCGTACTGAAGCTGGAAGAGCTTCAAGTCTCCACCGGGAATCGAAACTCAATGCTTTAAAGAGCAGTTCATTGCTTTCACTGAGATACTTTAAGTAATTATATCTCAGAAAAAAATAGTTTTGTGTAAAAAATATTCGTTTTTTCATAAGTTGTAACTAAACGCTTATAATTCTTAAAATATTCGCAGCAGTGCACATATTTTATTATTTTCAAATTCAAATATTTTGCAAGCATTATTTATTTTCGAATAACATTGACGCTAATACACATTTTCCGCACTACGTAATATGTATTATTAAGCTTAGTGATAAAATATCTTTTATAATCTGTGACAGTTGGATTCCTAAACTAAGATTATCCTTCAATACCGACAATCATTTAAATATATAAACTTTTGAAAAGTTATTGACGTAAAGCATATGAGATAACTAGATTTCGAGCAAAGGAATCAGACTATTAGAAATGAGTTATTTTAGGACATAGGACTGGAATTCCTTCGCTCTCTTAGTAATTACGAATATATCGGTAGACTTTGATAACTCTTCCAGTCATTAATCGGAAACTGCTATTAAATTCCTTCTAGCTCAAAGCGGCAACGATAAATTCAACCTATTAAAATATATTGGTGACGTTGGGATGTTACCGAGAGTACTTAAATAGGTGATCTAATGAGAGTCTGCGATAAAGCAGAATAGTTTGGGCATACTCTTGATCACGCCTGGAACCCAAATACTTTCAGAATACTTTAACTGCTGTACGTCATCTGTTGAAAATGAATGCGAAAAGTAGAAAATCCTTGAAAATTATTTAAAATTAGGCATATTAAATAAGTTACTGAATGAATTAAAATGAAAGAAGCCTCTTAATTACAACTATAATGAAGAGAATTCGAATTTTATACATATGCTAATTTTGCAATTTACCTTTTAACACGGTATAAAAATTATTTTACGCGCAATTTAGATTGTAGACAATTAAAACTTTATTGTGCAACGAATAATATTGATACAATTGAGACTATTTCACATATCCCAAAATTTTACAATGAATTCAATAAAATAATTATTTAATTTAAAGTAAGAGAAATTTAACATGAATATCATATGTGTAAATATATATATATA